CGCCCCCCCCCCCCCCCCCCCCCCCCCGCCCCCACGGGGCAGGTGTGGGCACGGCCAAGGATCGGAGGCAGTCTGGACCTGCCTTACAACCTTCCTGCTTTCAGATCATGCTCTCCTCCCGTGAGTCCGCCCCTCCTGACCCCTGTCGCTGCCGTTGGGGAGAGGGGCTGGGAGCTCTGGCATGGGTTCTAGCAGATCTGGTGGAGATTTGTTTTCTGTCAAATACCTTCGTGGATGCAGTCAGTGGGGTAGACCCCATTCTCCCCACCCCACTGTCCTCCACCAGTCCAAAATACCTTCCATTGTGAGTCACTGGCCTTCTCTGACCTCTTCATGACCCTCCCCCAACGCCCTCACCCAGAGAAGGGGTTTCAATAAATAAAGCCCAGTGCTGGGGTTGGAGGTCAGTTTACACAGGAGCAGGAGGCTCTACAACTCCTGCAGGTGCTGGAATGGGAATAAATCAGGCCACTGCTCCAAGCCATGGCAGAGGGAAGAGGGGAGGACTAGAGAGGAGGAGGACTACACAGGAGACTGACCCAGCTTAGCCATGGGAGCGGAAGCATGGAGCGAGCTACCACCTTGGATATGCAGGGGAACCTGGGCAGATCCTTGGAGTTGCAGTTTCCTCCTTTTCTAAATGAGCTGAGACCTGTGTCCAGGTTCTGGCCAGGGTCATTTGCAGGAACAAACCTCAAGTGGCTCGCTGGATAGTTGAATGACCCTACCCAGAAGAAAGAGGGTCCGTGCAAACCTTGGAAAAGAACCCTTACCATGATGGAGATGTGTGTGTGGGAGGGAAGACTCAGCCCTCCAAGTGCTGAAATGTCTCTAGTGTAAGACTCTTTGCAAATTGGTACCAGGAGGATATCCCTTTTCTTGCTGAACATCTAGTTTTGTAGTCTATGTTTCATGGTAGATTTGGGGCAAAAGCCTCAGTTCTTCTCATCTCAGCATTTCCAAAGACACCAGCAACAGGAGAGAGATCAAAGGCCTCCTTAGCCAGGCAGCAGAGGCGCATTACTCTAGCCCTCCCAGGCAGGGCTGGTGCCCCAAGGCTGCTGGTGTCTGGGGGTAGGGAGCCCTGAGACTTAGTATCTCTCATAAGATAAACTCCAACCGGACACGTTCAATGCACCTGACAAAGGACAGAGTGTCTGTGTAAGAGTGCGGGTTTGGGGCCAGACCTGGAACCCATCTTAATTCTGCAACTAACCCTCTGTGGCCTCAGGTGTCTCAGCTCTAAAATGGGCTTATCAGTACCACCTCACACCAGCTGAGTAGAAAGTACACAACAAATAGTAACACAAATCAATTTCTGGGAGCCTGGGTGGTGCTGGATGTGGGGACAGACAGTGACAAGTAAGAGGGTTGCAATCCAGGTGCCTCCCCTCCTCCCTTTCCAGGGCTTTAGCGTGTGCTCCCCAGCCAGGCTCCCTGGATGGCCCTGACCCTTCCAGCTGTAGCTGCTGCAGTAGCTGGTAGCTGCCCTAGCTGCCTAGCAGAAGGGAACTCCTGCTTAAACGCTGAGTGGTTGGCGGCCGCTCAGGTTTTACTGTTCACCAGGACCCTGCCTGGAACTCCCTCTCCCTTTTTCCCACCCGCAGGGTCGTCCTTGGCTGAGTCTGTGATGGATCACAAATTTTCAAAAAGCACAATTTGAAGGAGAGCTCCTGGGAAAAGAAGGCTTATGGGGTGAACAGATGAGATTCGACACCTTCCTCCCTCTAGGCCATGCAGAACCTGCTCAGGTCAGCAGGACAAGCTGTCCATCTCTCCCCAGGGAGAAAGGGGAGGGGAGATTCCAGGAGTCTGCTCACAGTAGCTCTGGGCTCCTGACGTGGTCTTCTGGGCTCGCCAGCTGGACTTGCACTTCTGGAGAGTCTCCAGCACACCTCTCTCTGTCTCTCCCGGGGGCTCCCACTTTATTAGGGCTTTGGTGACCTTGAGCAAGCTCAGGGAGGGGGCCTGGATGCAGGAGGTGTCCCCAAAGGGAGGAGGAATGGAAGCTGTCCGGGCTTCTGAGGGGCCTTTCTGCCCTCAGTGCTTCAATTTTGAGAGATCCAAGATGAAAAAAAGCAGGACCCATGATTTCACCCACTTTCTCTTCCCATCCACTTCTCTTTCCGTGGACAGAATGACAAGAAACCACTGAGAATTCATTTGGGAAACTATCATTTATGCATTTTCTAAAATCCTGAAAACCCAAGAATTATTGTACCAAGGGAGCTTTAGTTACCATCTTTGAAAACTATTTGATTTGAATTCCCTAAAAAAAGTTTCTTCCTGGTAGCTCAAGTCTCCCTGAAATGAAGCAAGCTTGCTGGGTTTATAGGGGATCCTTTAAATAGCAAAGACCTTAAATACTATCTTGAATATTGCAAGAGCGCTTAGTGGGGTGCCAAAACACAAGTAAGACAATCAATGCTGTGTGTGAAAAGACTGAGTCACCAAAAGGTTTCCCCAGATATTTATCTAACTGCTGAGTAGAGGATTCCTGGGTTGACGAACTCCTTCTATGGAGGAGGAAGTTTGGAAGGGGGTCAGCTGTGGATCCATCCAGAGGTGCTCATAAAAAACATCTTGTAAATTTCTGATGGGGCTTGGATGGGCTAAGAAGGTCCAGGGTACAAGTTCTTATAAGTTGTGAATTCTGCCTCACTCCATCAGGCAGATGAAATAAAGTATTCCTGTCAGCAGAGAAAAGAAAAAGCAACACATCTTCAAAGTTTATTAATTTTCCTTGGGTTGGTATTGGGGGAGGCGAGTGCGAGGGAAGTGGGCTGGAACACAGAAGTCTCGGGCTGTGATCTCTGGCTAAATGCAGCTTCTGTTTTTACAGCTTACTTAGGGAGAGCTGTTAGTTTTTCTAAGTGCAAATCGGGCCTTGGTTCTCTAAGCTCAATGTTTAGGCTACAAAGCACATACAACAATCCTAAAGGTAGGTAGCCTTCAGAAAGGGGCTGGCTCTCACCTCAAAGTCTGTGCGAAATCTCTAGTGCATTGCCATACTTGGACGACACCTAAGCAAAGCCCTTTAGAAGTGTAAAGTGTAACTGGAATGCTAAATGCCACTCACTATCTCCAAGAAAAATAAATCTTTAATTCTCAGCCAAGTACACCTGCTTTGGACCAGGCTTATTAGCATTATTTGTATCTTTTCTTTTCAAATGGAGAGTTTAACTCACAAAGTTTTCTTTTTGCTCAGTGCTTGCTATTTTTATCTTACCTTAAGAACCCTAAGGTCAAGTCTGGCGCCAGACTTCTGAAGCACACCAGGGAAGAGTGAGAGGTGGCTGGCTTCCCAGAGCTTCTTTCCCAAACTCCATAAGATGAAGCAGTAGAACCACGTTAGAGTTTAGGGTCTGGACTGATGCTTGGTGTATGCTCACTAGGTCACCGTGGGGAAGCTGCAGGCTGGATGTCAACGTCAACAGAGGACCCTAAGGCAGAGAAGGCTTTCAATTTTTTTTTTGAGTGTTTTTTGCTATAGGGTTTATGCTCTCATTGGAGACACAGAGGGAGACAGACAAACAGAAAGTGAGAAATTACCCCCTCCCAGGGGGGATGGCTACACTGCAATCTCTTGTCTTCCATTCTCTTCTCAGGGTCTTGGGCACACATGCATACACAACTGGCATGAATTTTAAGCCGCTACGTCTGGGACTCGAACCGCGGTCAACCACAGTGGAGTCCAGCAACATAACTGCTATGCCTCTGCTGGTCCCCAGAGGAGGCTACCTTGATATGTTAGTTTTTGTAGATTAATGGTGATACAAGCAACTTTGGGAAGGGAACTCTACTGTATATTGTCTTCCCAGTCTCCCTCCCTGCCCCATTTAGCTGCAGGAGGCCAGTCTCCTAGGGCCACATTCCCAATCTTCCATACCTTTGGGCTTCCAGGGGGGTTTGAACAATGAGGAATCATGGTGCAGGAGTGAAGGGTGGGGTGGCATAGTAGTAAGAGTACTGACTTCTCTGCTTTCTCTGTCCACTGAGGCTTTGTTCTTTACTTCCTCTGGGTGTCTCCAGATCCTGTCAGGCAGTCCCTTTTCCACAGCTTCAGCTCTCACCAGGCTCTGTTAACTCCTTTCCCCCCTTACCCCTTCAGATCAAAGGTAGTAATTTCTCCCCGCTGTTGCTGAACCTTCAGTGACTCTTTATCTCCTCTTTGTTCCTTTGAACCCCACCTACACTCATGTAAACAGTGCCTTCAGTTTTTTTTTTTTTTTTTCCTTCCAGGAAAATTCTTTGGAGCTTGCCATGTGTTTCCTGTGGGGATCTGACTGATGAGGAGAGGAACAAAGATTGAGGAAAGTGAAGTCTGCGAAATCAGTAACATTATTCAGGTGTGTACATCAATGAGCATTCTGAATGCCAGGCACTGCAGTAGGCACTAAGGATACTGAATTTAAGACGAGGTCCTTGCCTTTTCATGATTAGAGCAATGCTTCAATAGTATTGTTTATAGCTTTTGTGTACTTGTATGTAGAAAAAGTTGATAAAAGTGAGATTTCTGCATCCAAAGGTATGCAAGTATTAAAAGGTTTTGAGAAATTTGGTGACCTGACATCCATCAAGACCCCATCAGAGGAACCAGCAGTTTAGCGTAATGGCTATGTCACTGGACTCTCACGTAGTTGACCACGGTTCAAGTCCTGGACCCGGCGGCTTAAAATTCATGCCGGGCACGTGTGCGTGCGTGCCCAAGATCCTGAGAGAAGAATGGAGGAGAAGGGATTGCGGTGTGGCCATCCCCCATGGGGGGGTGATCCCTCGCTTTCTATCTCTCTGTCTCTCTCTGTCTGTCTGGTGAGCACACATGCCCTATAGCAAAAACCTCTCCAAAAAAAAGAAAAAAGAAGACCCCATCAGAAATGTATGAGTGATCCTGTTCCCTCATTCCCATGCACATACTCTGGTACTAACTTTGTTATTTGATTGGTGAAAATTGCATATATGAGGTTTTAATTTGTATTTCTAAGATGATTAATGGAGTTGGGTATTTTTACATGTCATAATATTACTTTTTTTGTTGTCAAATGAATTATTTTATTTAACTTTATTTATTTATTTTGATTTGACCAGAGAGGGACAGAGAGAGAGAGAAAGTGAGAAAGCAAGCTGTCAGGTCCAGGACTTGAACCATGGTCAGCCATGTAGGAGTCCAGTGCTCTTAACCACCATGCCACCTACTGGCCCCAATATTTCTTTTTGAAAGACTTACTTGTTTAATTTTGTTTATTGTTATTATTATTTCAAATAATTATTTTATTATTAATTAGTTATTATTATTTTTTTTCACATGAGTTTTGCCAGAGAGACAGAGAGAAAGAGAGGGAGAGTGAGAAAACAAGCCGCCAGATCCAGGACTGTGGTTGGCCATGTGGGAATTCTAACACCTTAACCACCACGCCACCTGCTGGCCCCTGTTGTTTTATTATTTAATTTGATCAGAGAGAAAGAGAAAGGGAAAGCAAGAAAGCAAGCTACAGCAAGCCACCAGGTCCAGGACTTGAACTGTGTTTGGCCATGTGAGAGTCCAGAGCCCCAACCACCATGCCAACTGTTGGCTCCATAATATTTCTTCTTTTGGAAACTGCCTGTTCACTCCTTTAGCAAATTGTAAATCTTAAATGTTTGTCTATTTCTCTTCTACAGAATACTGATCCCATGTCTGCTATAAATGTTATAAAATTTTTATCAGGTTTTCACTTACCTTATAATTTTGTTTATTTTTAATGTATAGATACTTTTAAAAAATCAATATTTCTGACTTTTATAGTCTGTTAAATGTCTTATCTAGAAAAAAATCAAAATCTTTCATCCAGATGGAATTTACTTTTGTTTATAATATGAAGTGAAGATATAACTTTGTTTATTTTCCAAATATTTAAACATTTGGGCAGGCTGTCATTGTGAGGAGCCTTGACTTCTCTTTGGAGAACTATATTTGAGCTCTGTTCTGTGGTGATACTTGATGGTATGGAAGCTGGGAAGTCACATTAGCTCTGCCTTCACTTGTGTTGTGAACCACTGTGGGCTGAATGATAATAGGTTTATAGGTGGTTTTTGGAGCTCAGTAAAAGCTAGATGAAATCCAGTGTTTCAATGACTGCTTTAGTAACTGTACACTGTTATGAGTTAAATTCTCCTTTCTTTAAGATGTTACCACAAGGGACCAGCAGGTGGCGTGGTGGTTAAGGCGCTGGACACTCCCACATGGCCAACCATGGTTCGAGTCCTGGACTTGCTTTCTCACTCTCTCTCTCTCTCTGTCTGTCTGTCTCTCTGGTCAAATTAAAATAAATGGATGAATAAATAAAATTAAATAATTCTTTTAAAAAAAGATGGTACCACAAGTGTTACCATTTCCATGTGAAAGCATTGCAATGTCAATACTGAATTTGCCACACCTTTAGATCAGTAACGAATTTCTGCCCTTCTTCTTTTTCTTCTTCTACTACTACTACTTCTTCCTTCCTCTTCTCCTTCTTCTTATTCTCTCTTCCTCTCTCTTTCTCTCTTTCTTTTTTGGGTGAAAGTAGACCTAGAACAGAAGTCCCTATCACAAGATTACTAGCTATGGGATCTCAGGTGAATTCCTTAATTGTTGTCATTTCTTTATTTACTTATTCTGTGGATGGGGGTGACAGAGAGAGACAACTCCCCCTTCAGGGTCCTAATGCCAAAGTCACCTCTAGCCTCAGCCAGCTTGGATTGTGGGCACATTCGTGCCTGGAGTACTCAGGGAGATCCCTGGATGCCAAACAGTAACCTTCCCATGTTGGTTTGCTTCACAGAGCATTTGGGGGGTGTCACTACTGTGCCACCATCCAGCCCTAAATTCCTTAATTTCCTGCCTTATCTGTAAAATGAAGATAATAATACCTAGGTCATGGATCATATTATCCTATTATGATGCCTGAATACTTTCACATTTTTTATTATGCACAGTATTAATAAAAATACTTATAATTTCTAGTCTTTTTCTTTTCTTTTCTTTTCTTTTCTTTTCTTTTCTTTTCTTTCTTTCTTTCTTTCTTTTTTTTTTTTTTTTTTTTTTTTGAGAGGTTTCTGTTGTAGGGCACATGCACTCACCAGAAAGACAGAGGGAGAGGCAGAACGACAGATAGTGAGAAATCACCCCCCAGGGGGGATGACCATGCCACAATACCTTCTCCTCCATTCTCCTCTTGGGATCTTGGGTACACATGCACACGTGCCTGGAGTGAATTTAAGCCACCAAGTTCGGGACTCAAACCATGGTCACCTAGTTTGGTTTATGACTAAGTCTACTATTGTGTTGCTAACAGAAATACCTGAGATTCGATGATTTTTAAAGAATAGAAGGGCTGATTCCATGGCCTATTGGTTAAAAGAGCTGGATCCCAGATGGCTGACCAAATTCTGGCTCTGGCAGCTTGAAAAACATGCCAGGTGTATGTGCACATCATGTCCAAAATCCTAACACGATAGAGAGACAAAGGAGAAAGGACTGTAGCATGGCCATACCCCACTGGGGGGGGGGGGCTTTCTCTCTTTCTCTCTGTCTTTCTCTTTCTGGCTAGTAAATGCATGATCTGGCAATTAAAAAAAATGAACTGAGTTTTATATGGTTTATGATTCTTGTGGCTGGAAAGCCCAAAGGTGAGGCGCTGGTATCAGTCTGGCCTCAGGTGCTACATTATAACATGCCTGACAGAAGCTGAGAGAGCAGAGGGTGCTTGCAGAAAGAGAGAGCTGGGAACAGCCATTTTCAATTTATAGCAAGCCGTTCCAGAGGGAATGAACTCCTCCCGAAAGATAGAGTGAGACGGCATTAAACCACTTATGAGAGTTATGCATACTATTCAGTAGGCCTCACCTCTTAAAGCACTTTCTAACACCATTTCACTGGGGACTAAATTTCTAAACATGAACTTTGGGGGGCAAGCCATTACCTAAACTACACCACTGACTATATGAGAAACATATTTCAAGGTAATATTGATTACTGCCTTTTTCCCAGTTTAGGAGCATAGCTGAGGGTACCAAGAACAGTTAGTCACTTCCCAGCCTTTGCCTACCTATTTGTTTATTACCTTAGTAACAGAGAATGATTTACTCCATTCCCACTTAGAGTGACACTGCCCTCGCAGAGCACATATGGGGCCCTGAAACACAATGTGATCGCAATGAAACCTCAGGGAAGGCGGGTCCTTCTCATTTGTGAGCATTCAGCAGCCATTTTTGAACACGTTAGGCTAGGCGGTAAAGTTATATACCTGTGAGGTGAGAATTTCATCTGCGTTTTATACATGAAGATACGGAAAGTCAGAGGAAGATTTGCCCTTGCAGCAAACCTGGGATGTCTGCCTCTGGAGCAGAAGCTCCCGCCTCCAGGGCTGAGGATGCCTGCGTGTCTCAGTTTCCTTGGTTGGGCTGCTCTGTGGCTCAGCGTGAGAGACACAGAGCGTCCTTGAACTTCTGGGAAGCATGTGGCACCCTTCCGGCATCTGGAGTTTCATGGAGGACTCCAGAAGGTTTCATCTGCCACTCTCCTGACCTCATATTTTGGTTACCTGAGTGTCTGGAGAGAGAGTGGGGTTGGTAGAGAGTAGAGGGATATAAACTACATTTGAAGGTCTGCTAAGTGCCAGTACTGAGCAAATCACCGTCAGCTTCGTATTTTCATGTCATTGCTTTTTCCCCTCTTAGAACATGGTGAAATGTTTCACAGGAAAATGAACAAAACAAAACAAAATGGTTTATCACCCAAGAACACTCAAGTAGGCTTCATTGAGGTTAAAAAATAGAATCTTGCTAGCACCTGATATTCCTGGTGCTGTCCCCCGGCTCGCTCGTGCGTTCTCTTTTCTCCTCACTCTTTCTCTCTGGTGAATGCATGTCTCCTCTAGTAACATCTTTTTAAAAAGGTTTATTTCTCTTCCCCTTTCTAGAGTCCTACTATTTGGACTTCCGTGTTTATTGCTTTCTTGTGTTTCTCTGTAATAGATCAGCTGAGCATGCATTGATAAGCACTATCTTTTTTCTTTCTTCTTCTTTTTTTTTTGGAGAGGTTTTTGCTATAGGGCATGTGCGCTCGCCAGAAAGACAGAGAGACAGACAGAAAGTGAGAAATCACCCCCCGGGGGGGGATGTCCACACCGCAATCCCGTCTCCTCCATTCTCCTCTCAGGATCTTGGGCACACACGCCCGGCGTGAATTTAAGCCACTGGGTCCAGGACTCGAACCACAGTCAACCACATGGGTGTCCAGCGACATAGCCATTATGCCAACTGCTGTTCCCAGATAAGCATTATCTTTTAAGATGGCCTGGGTTTGGAACTTTCTATGATGGAATAT